CTCAAAAAAGAAAGAGCAACAAAAGGATTTTTTATATGGTTAAAAGAAATATGTATTCAATATAAAATAAATATTCCTTCATTTGATAATCTTCAAACTCTAGAAGAAAAAACATATATTAGCACGGATGGTACTACTACTGCTAGTACACACCCTCATGAAAAAAGTATAATACTCAAAGGAGTAACTTCATCAAGTAAAGCATAACCTCCACAGTCATTATATGATATCATTGCCACACCATATAAAGTTTTACCCAAAGAATTAGGGAAAAAACAAGAACTAATTCCTCATATTGTGGAACAAAATAATTATACTAATTTATATATGCAGTCTCTAGGAAAACAGGCAGAACGAATAGAAAGACTCGTTTCAAAGGAAGTAACTCCTTCCCTTCCTAAGGCAGTCCTGTTTAAACCACCTCCAGAATTAAATAAAAATAAATTCCATATTGGTGAAAATAATAAAACCTTAATGGATCAGTTAATAGTCAAATTAGCTCAATTAGACATAAAAGGAATTACTTCTTCCAAAATCAGTATTCCTTTACCAACTATTCCTAGTCCATTACCAGAATCTTCTGATAAAGGAAAATCCAAAATACCAGAGCATAAAACAATGATGCTCTAGGAAGAACTAGAACCAATCATAGAGGATACTATCCAAAACCAAGAAAATATTTTTATGGATACCACACCTATTGATATAAACAGAATAGCCTATGGTAAAACTTGAAAACCAATTACGGCTTTACCATATCACAAAAGACCCACACCTGTTGATGTCCAACTTGAAGAAGATGCTATACAACAAATTGTGTCATACTCAGGAAGATCAAAAGTTAATTGGACAATAGATGGCTTATCAGAACTAAAAATATTAAATGTCATGAGACACATGACAATGTTTGCTTATGCAAATAAAATGGCAGGAAATCCAGACCAAGAAGTTGTTAAAGCAATAGTTAATGGATTCACTGGCTGGTTAAGAGGATGGTGGGATTTTTATGTTGATGATGAAACCAAAAATAGAATCCTGACTAATACAAGACAATGGATCGCCAGGAATGAACAAAATCAATAAATAATTTATACTGAAAGTGATGCAGTGAACACCTTGATATATACCATTACACTTCATTTTGTAGGAAGTACAACATTATTAGCAGCAAGATTAGAGGATCTGCTCTCTAATATTCGTTGTCCTACATTATCTCATTACAAAATGGTATAAAGATGTCTTTTTCTCAAGATTATTAATAAGAGAAGATTGTCAAGTAGACCACTGGAAAGAAAAATTTATTGCTGGTCTACCTTATTTATTTGTAAAAAAAGTCATGGATAGACTTAGAAAGAAACATAATGCAATTATAGTATATTCAGCATATACAGTTGGAGAACTCTCAGCAGAAATATGTGCTGAAGGATTAGCTTTATGTACTGATCTTAAACTCAAAAGACAGTTAAATAAACAACAAATTACCAAGAGAAAAGAACTTGGTGATTTCTG